GATAGATAGATAGATAGATAGATAGATAGATAGATAGATACGTTTGAATCTCTTCATATTTACATCAGTTTCTCTAGATTTGAATATCAACTTGGTGACTGACATAATTTCCTTACAATGACATCATCTATGCTTAACTTCAGATTGATTTTAGCGAAAGCAGATGCTACCAACTGTTGCAACGTTGACATGTCATAAATATGTTAAACTCTTCATAAATGTTTATCATATTTATCCCTCCTTCTCTCTGTCTTATACTTATCTTTTATACAGTACTACTTTAGTCAACACGTACAAACAGGAACGCACGCAGATACCCATAAACCATAACATTAATTCAAATTGTATGTAATTTAGAATATCGTCTTTGACATTATTATGTACACATATATTGCCTCACTATGTCAACAACATTAGACAGTCATTAACAAGTTTATGTGTTTAGGAAAGATCGACTGAGAACTATTTACTGCATGTGAACGTTTTGTATATCAGTAGACGAAGCATTTCTTGATCTACCTACGTATCTAAACCAGATCTAGATAATGGTCTGTCTATATTTCTGAGATCACTTATTGTAACTATCTACATTGTTTGAACTATCGTCCTCATGTTTAATGTCATATTCACAACGTTTCGGCCTTCTTCATGTGATTTACGTTGGAATTTCGAACCCTTTATTTCGTCCACCAGTTTAGATTATTCTAGTTCCGCGTGTCATGCCTTTTCTGCATTGAATATCTCAGTATCAGTTATTTCACTTTAGTAACTTAACTCTCCGCCATTTTATTCATCTCTGCTGTGGCCAGATACTGAACTCTCAAATCTTTGGGTCAAGTCACTGAATTACTTTAAACAACGCTTTTATCCAATGGCAGTTATAAGTCTAATGCAGTCTATAGAGTTAATTTATGCAAAGCTTGTTTCTTCTATATGTGTCAGTATTATTAACTCTTGAGTATCTTTTATCTTAAGCCTTTGAGCTCTGACTACCGCTTTACCGGTGGTAGAGAAAAATGACATAATGCCAAGCCACCGGTTGAACGGTGGGTAAACACTTATAACTATTTCTATATCTACCGGGAAACATTACATACCAATTATTTGCGAATTTTGGCTCAGGAGCTCAGGCAGAAGGGTTTAAATTGTTCAGGAACGTAGGGCTCGAAGGATTAATCTTTTATCTTAATTTAGGTTGGGTATTAGCATTGTAATCCGCATATATCAGAAGTAAGGAAAAAGATTTCGACGAGATACGAAATCGCATTCTTCTCTGACATGAAAATGTCAAATAGACGTTATTTTAAATCTGCGCTGTTTATTAATATCCACATAGTGCGATGGTCGAAGTGGCTGCTATAAAAATAACTGAAATACAGATGGCGGAAATAATATCTCAAGAATTAATCATAGTCGTCAATGTTGTTACAAAATAATACCAATCAATACATTGATTTATTATCAATATTATCATAATTTATACTTTTGAAATTGATAACAATCGCATTTTGTCGTAAATATGGTGAAGTTATTTTACCGTTGAATAAATAAATAAAACTCGACGATTTTTACTGTGCCATTCTGCTGAAAATTTGTCTTAAAAAAGTAGAGAAAATAAAGTGGGAAAAATCAGAAAGTTTCTCATATTTTTATTTGTCAATAAAATATAATTTTAAAAAAATGATGAAACTAGGTTTGAGTGAAAAGTTGACCTTGTAAAGTTCATCCGGATTAAGTTCAACAGTGTTCTTCATTAAGGGGCCTATAAGAACTCCTTTTGTTTCAAATCTACGACTGTTAAAATTTGTTAACAAAAATATAAAAAGAAAAAAAAAAGTTTGATTAATCCATAAAACTCTTAATAATTATTAAATGCCGGTCAACAATTAAAATATAAAATCATGGACACATATGTGACAATAGAATTACGTAAGTGCCAGATAGATAGATAGATAGATAGATAGATAGATAGATAGATAGATACTTGAACGGACTGAGATAGATAGATAGATAGATAGATAGATAGATAGATAGATAGATAGATAGATAGATAGATAGATACTTGAACGGACTGAGATAGATAGATAGATAGATAGATAGAGATAGATAGATAGATAGATGATAGATAGATAGATACTTGAACGGACTGAGATAGATAGATAGATAGATAGATAGATAGATAGATAGATAGATAGATAGATAGATAGATAGATAGATGCTTGAACGGACTGAGATAGATAGATAGATAGATAGATAGATAGATAGATAGATAGATAGATAGATAGATAGATAGATACTTGAACGGACTGAGATAGATAGATAGATAGATAGATAGATAGATAGATAGATAGATAGATAGATAGATACTTGAACGGACTGAGATAGATAGATAGATAGATAGATAGATAGATAGATAGATAGATGAACGGATAGATAGATAGATAGATGAACGGACTGAGATAGATAGATAGATAGATGGATAGATAGATAGATAGATGCTTGAACGGACTGAGATAGATAGATAGATAGATAGATAGATAGATAGATAGATAGATAGATAGATAGATAGATGCTTGAACGGACTGAGATAGATAGATAGATAGATAGATAGATAGATGGATAGATAGATAGATAGATAGATGATAGATGGATGCTTGAACGGACTGAGATAGATAGATAGATAGATAGATAGATAGATAGATAGATAGATGAGATAGATAGATGAACGGACTGATATTGAACGAAAAAAATGGATAGATAGAAAAATGCTTGAACGGACTGAGATAGATAGATGGATAGATAGATAGATAGATAGATAGATAGATAGATAGATAGATACTTGAACGGACTGAGATAGATAGATAGATAGATTGATAGATAGATAGATAGATAGATACTTGAACGGACTGAGATAGATAGATAGATAGATAGATAGATAGATAGATAGATAGATAGATAGATACTTGAACGGACTGAGATAGATAGATAGATAGATAGATAGATAGATAGATAGATAGATAGATACTTGTACGGACTGAGATAGATAGATAGATAGATAGATAGATAGATAGATAGATAGATAGATAGATAGATAGATAGATACTTGAACGGACTGAGATAGATAGATAGATAGATAGATAGATAGATAGATAGATAGATAGATAGATAGATAGATAGATAGATATTTGAACTGATAGGCATAGCGACAAATTGAAAAAGATATTAGGAAATGTTTATAGAACAAAGAAATTTGAAAAGAGATCAGCAAAGAAAAAAGAAAGGAAAACTTTTTTGTAGACAGATGAACAGAAATCGGGCAATTTTGTGAAAAAGTGGGGAGTTCAAATCGAATGGAACTTCGAATAAGATAAGGAGAAGCGAAAATGTGAAAGAAGAAAATAAAAAAGTCAATTCCTCAGAGAACAGAAAGGAACAGCAGTGAATAGAGTGGAAGATAAGAATTGGTGCGAGTTTCAAAGAAAAATGATGGGTGAAGCCATCCATAAATAGACTGATCTCGAGAAATGGTGACAATGATTCGGAAAGATAGGCTCTCTCTGGGGACAATTCCAATAAAGCAGGTTTTGTACGAATGATAAAAATAAGCTGAGATCC